GGAGCTCCCCTCGGAGCAGGGGAGGCTGCGTCCGGCAGATCTGGTGCCTTGCTCCAGCCAGAAAGCACCTCTCAGCTCTGGCTGAGCCCTCCCTGGCTCCAGCCCCACCTCAGCTCGGTTTGGTTTTGTTCTGGGGTCTAACTCTTTTCCTTTAAATATGTAAAACACTAATTCCTTTTTTAATTTTTAATTCCAAATGAACCAAAAAAAAAAAGCTTCCCCCTTCTCTTCTCTCCTGCTCTGGCTCTTCTGGGCCACCCCTGCCCTGGTGGGAAGTGAGGTGAGGGGGAGGAGGGGAGCGAGGAGCAACGAGCCTTGTCCAATTCCTCTGCACACTCTTGTAACGCTTTTAAAACAAAATGATTTTTTTTTTTATATAAATAAAGTTTTTAAAGTGTGTCTGAGTGCCTTCCACCTAAGGCTGCCACCTTCATGTTTTCAGTTTTGCAGTTGGGACCAAGTGTCTTTTCCAGGGACAGGGCTGTGCTCTTGAGCATTGCTTGTCTGTGCCTGGCTCTGAAAGATGCCGCTTTGTGACAAATGCTCTGTTAGACTGGAGTGATGTTTCCTCCTCTTTCTAGCAAAAGCTTTGTACTGACCTCCCAGTGATTTTTGCAGCGTGCTCGGGCTGATGAGGTAGTTGAGACCCCTCTCTCTCTCTCTCCCTCCCCAGGGCATCAGGGCTCCCTCCTCGGAAGCCTCTCCCTGAATTTTCCCTCTCCTCTGCTGCCTGACAGATTTTGCACAAGTGAAGGAAATACTGCAATTTCTCTAGTGCGAGTAGTATATCCTTGAAAACCTGGCTGGGACAATGCTCGGGACCCCTCCCACCCTGCCTTGCACCCTTGTCCCCAAGGCCACCAATGAGCAGAGAAAAGGCAGGGCCAGGTGTTTTATTGCTTAAGGTTGGGAGGACAATGCCCAGGACCTGTGACTTGGCAGGGACAGTGCCAGGAGTGTCTTGGGGAGGAAGGGAACAAGGAATGATTTCGGGGATGTCTGGCTTGGCAGAGACAAGGCCGGGGACACTTAGCGAGGGACGCTGATGGGCGGGACAGCAGGAGGCATACGGGGCTCAGCAGGGCTGGTGCCAGGGATGTTGATGGTGGGGATGAGGCTGTGTGTCAGAGGAAGAGCTTGCTGTGGCAGGACTGGCAGTACATCTTGTTGCCGTGCTCGCGGAAGGTGCCTTTCTGCAGCTGGCCCAGGCAGTAGGTGCAGGTGAAGTGCTCGAAGGCTCGCACGGCCTCGGGGACCTGCTCACCCCTGAGTCCCCACCAGCCCACTGCCCACTCACTGCGCACACGAAGCACTCGGGATGCCAGACGCCCTGCAGAGCTGACAGGTAATTGTCCATCACGGGACGCTTGCAGCCCTGGCATTTCGGGGCAAACATGGCCAGGAAGTCCTGGCGGCAGTACGGCTTCCCACTGTGCTTGAGGAAACCTGCAGGGGTGTCAGTATGGGCTCC